GTAATTTTGTTTTTGAGACTCATTTTAGATTTTCTGTTGATCAGAGGGTACAGACGTGCTATCCGACCCTCGATCTTTGATTTGACGCTCGTTATGTGCGGGTTCCAAGTGAGCCTACGGTCTAATAAAAGGCCGAGGTACTTTACCCGCGCTTGCCAGTCAATCTCCCTTCCAGAGATTCTCACTTTTCTGGCCGGAGAAGATTTCAGTTCTTCCCATGGTCTTCCCATGGTTCACTCGGATCTTCCAATCAAGGTACCAGCGCTCGAGGTCGTCCAATGCACGTTGCATATAGACGACGCCGAGCTCCCGACCCATGGAAGATGAGAGGAGAGCCGTGTCATCGGCGTACAGAGATATCTTCACACGCTCGGGCCTCGGAAGGTCACTGGTGTAAAGTGAGTACAACGTCGGAGAGAGCACGGCACTCCAGCAAGGATCTCTCTGTTATCAGACAGAGATCCCTCTACTCTAACATGAAATGTCTTGTCTTTCAGGAAAGACCCGATCCACCGGACGAGGCCCCGAGGCAGGTCGAACGCGTTTAATTTGTGCAGAAGACCTTCGCGCCAAACACGGTCGAAGGCCTTCGAGATATCTAATAGAACAATGTGCACTTTTTTGTTGGTGTTTAACTCGTGGATGGTGTTTTCGACCAGCCTTAGGTAACTCAGTGGAGTGGTCTCTCCTGACGCCAAATTGTTCATCAGGCAGAACATTTCGGTCCTCAACTTCTTCGCTGAGCCTTTGGAGAACAACTCTTTCAGCCAGCTTAGCCGCGGAAGAGAATAGACTGATCGGGCGATAGTTCTGTGAGAACAGCGGGTTCTGACCCTGTTTTGGGATCATGACGACGATCGCATGCTTCCACCGTCTGGGGAAGTGTCTGAGGGCCAACGAACTATTTATTATGTTTAGTAAGCATTCAACGCAGTTGTCCGGGAGCCTCTTCAACAACTTGTTAGTTATTGAGTCGACCTCCGGTGCTTTCTTAGCCTTTGCGGCCCTGATATATCCCTTCAGCTCTTCCACAAAAGCTGGACGGATGTCATCATCGTCATCTTCCCTGAGGAGTCGGTGAACCTGGTCTTTCAACAGCATATCGCGGTCGATGTCGTCGTCGTCGTCAACGTTAAGCTGAAACTGACGTTCCATCGAGTCAGCAAAGGCTAACGCTTTGTCGGCGGGGAAGTAGCATACTCCGCGCTCTCCGTGAATGGGTGAGAGAGCAGTCTTCTTCCCCTTGAGCCTGCGAGTGACTCGCCAAAGCTCGTCACTCCTAGGTTCAAAGGATTCCAAAAGCTCTTCCCACCTTTCGTTCCGATGATCAATGATGGCCTGCTTGACTTGGTTGGCCATCCTATTTGCCGCGATTTTATCCCCTGGGAAAAGGGTTCACTGATAGAGCCTTCTCAGGCGATTTCTCTCTCGTATCAAGGCTTTGATACGAGGAGGAAACTCATTATAGCTCTTCAGCGGACACTCCTCCCTGGAGGTGGCCGCTCGAAACGCATCATTCACGGAAAGCTCGAAACGCTCGACTGCCGCGTCGAGTTCGTCAGGAGAGTCGAGTACCTCAGGAGGGGCGCGCATCTCTCCGAGTTGGGCTGTGAAGACATCCCAGTCCGTCTTAGATTTCGTGCGATAATCAGGGGAAGGAAGATCATCGCCCAATACCAGGACTACTGGGTTATGATCAGAATCCAGTTCCGACAAAACGTAAATTTCGCTAGTCAGAGAGACATTTCTGAGAAGCGCAATGTCTAGTACGTCAGGCCTAGTCTGCCCGCGATAGTACGTAGGCTCATCTGGTCCCAGCATTGGATATTCATGTCTGTCAACGTGCGCATGGAGCGCCTGGCCGTTTCGATTAGTGGCTCTGCTCCATGGTCTGTGCTTGGGTTAAAGTCACCAGCAGCAATTGTCGGAGTGTTGCTTCCCATAAGCAGTTCATCCAGTGATTCAGGGAGTAATCGATTGTTCGGGGGAATGTAGACCGAGATTATTCTGTGACAACCCCTACTCAGCCGAATTTCGACACCTACAGCCTCAGTTCCGTGTAAACGGGCACTGTCATTGCCGTATTAGACACACTGAAGGGATCGTTTGGCAAAAATGCCTACTCCCCCTCCAGCACGTTCAACACGTTCTCTGTGAAAGAATCTGTAGTTTGGAATGACAATAGATGCGTTCCTCAGATGCGCCTTCTGCACTAGAGCCACATCGATGTTATATTCAGTTAAGAAGTTCTCAAAGTCAAGCTTTTTAGAACGAATGCCATTAGCACTCCAAAAAACTATCTTCAGAGATCTAGGCAACGTTGGTTGTCTAGACATTGGCAGTTCCGGTTAACACGTCAGTATTCACCGTGAACATTTTCTGTAACACGGGGAATTGCACGAACAACTTTTTCATCTGATCCAATGCGGAACAGATGTCTGAAACCCCCTGCGTCTGAGGAGAGGGCTCAGGTAGAGAAAGGGTGGGCTTTACAGAACTGCTGGCACCCTTGGATGCAGCCTTAGAAAAGCTGACCTCTTCCTGGGCGCGTCCAGACCCTGTAGGTCTTTTTGAGGGGGTTGGCTTCCTGGCGGAAGACTTTCCCTTTTGCTGTACCTTCGGGTACGCCGGGCAGCCACGGTAGTTGGCGGTGTGGGCCCCCTTGCAATTGTTACATTTCGGGGGGTCAGTCCTAACCTTTTTGCATGCACTGGTTAGATGCCTGCTGGCGTACTTCACGCAGATGGGGACTGCTAAGCAGTTGCGTTGGCAGTGGCCGAAGCGTTGACATCGGTGGCACTGACCCACCGAAGCTTTTGGGTGTTGAGGTTCAACCTGGACCTTCATGCTCAGAAGGTCTTTAACGTCGAAGATGTGCTTCTGGTCCCTGCTCAATAGAACAAGAACCATTGGCATGGGCTTGTTGAAGCGCTTCATGCGCGTAACTGATGCGAGGTCAAAGCCTCTGGCTTCGAGCTCCTCACGAACGTCGTCAGTCGCCAGGTGTTCTGGCACTCCCTTGAAGTGGGGGAGTCTCGTCGTGTAAGTTGACGGCTTTGGAGAACTTGATATTCTCCTGTGTCGTCAACTTCAACAGAGATATCCATTTGTCCTTCTGGCGGACAATAGGGGGAATTCTGGCTTTTTTAACCGACGAGTGTTGGTTTTGATTAAGGGGGGCGGGGGTACCAGGCTCCTCCCCATGTACTGACTTGACAGTGCTTCCTAACTGCGACTGCGTGCTCGACAGGGCTCTTATATGTTCCGCAGGACATAATGTCCTTATGTTAAAATTACGGTTTGGTGTTGGGCAAAATTTCCAGTAATATTTATTACTACACCAAAGGTTCCAAACAGTACATCACAAGGTTCTCTTTTCTTCAATTCCGTCTTAATGAGATCAAAAATCCTTCTAAAAGAAGTTCTGTGGACATCGAGGGTTTTTTTCACTTTTTTCATCATCAACAGTGTCTCCTGTCACGGTTGCCAAATGTAAATCGAGAATATTGAAGAAATATTATTTTTATAAAAATTTCGTTTACAATTACAATGAATCAATATCGGACAGTACAAAAATGTTTTAACTTCGAAAGATATCAAAAATCGATTCACAGAGTCAAATCAAGTTTTTGACCATAATCATCTTAGACAGCATATAAAAAATTAGGAACTACCTTTTGTGAGTAAATCTGCCTTTTTATTCTCTATTAACTGATCTATGAATTCTCCATTAACAGATAATGGGGTCATTGAGTACCAACCCTGTAATAAACATATTGTAATAAAGTGAACAATACTTGTAAATAAGTTATACACGATAACTCCATTATATAAAGTAGATATTTTTTATGATTTGTATTATATTCAATGATAATTAAACTTTCTGTACTTTCTATTTTGATCCTTATGTTTTCATGCATCCTCATGCAACTTCATATTGATAACAGACTAAATGAACATATAAATTTTCAATTTATTTACATACACACACGCACGCACTAAAAACATCCACTACGTACAATTTTTTATTGGAAAATAATCTCTTGTCACAGAAAAATACATTAAATGAACAAAGTCTACAAAACATTTCAATAATGAAGTTAGTTATCATAAACGAATGAGGAAGGATTTTTTATTTCAAAATATCAACCGCGAGAGGCTATTGGCGGAGGAACAATTAGATATAATTATATTTTATCCATTATATGGATAGATTTTTTAAAAAGTTAATAAAGAGTTCAAGTTCACTACTTGAACTGAAACTAATATTTGAGGCGATATTAGGAAAGCTATTTAAAACGAGTGAGTCTCTCCATTCGGTAAGGGATAGAGAATAGGTTAAATTGTGACGAAATTGCCATTGAATGATTGTGAGTAAAGTTAAAATGGGAAATTTTGTTATAACAAATCATTTAAAAAAACAATTCGTTCAGGCCAGTCTCAACTCCCTATACTGTAGGTTAATGGACTGACACCTATCAGAAAACAACTATTCCCCTGGCTAATACCACGAAGGGCATTGGATTATATCCGAAAGGTGTCAGTGCAGGATTCTTCACTGAAGTTATTCCTGCATATTCAACGCCCTTCGTGGTATTAGCCAGGGAAGTAGTTGTTTTCTGATAGGTGTCCATTAACCTACAGTGTAGGGAGTTGAGACTGGTCTGAACGAATTGTTCTTTCAGATGATTTGATTTATAGCCAGTCTTCAAGTATGCCCACTGACTATTACAGTTGTATCGCCAACAGTATATGCAGGAATAACTTCAGTGAAGAATCCTGCACTGACACCTGTCCGATATAATCCAACGCCCTTCGTGGTATTAGCCAGGGGAGTAGTTGTTTTCTGATAGATGTCAGTTCATTAACCTACAGTGTAGGGAGTTGAGACTGGCCTGAACGATTGATTTGATTTATAGCCAGTCTTCAAGAATGTCCACTGACTATATGTGAAAACATTTTGTTATAGTTTTCAAAGTTTCTTTCAAAGCAAAATCTAATTTCGAAACAGTATTTTATTTTTATCACATTATCAAAAACCGATCTGGAGCAGACATAATATATATTTGTAAAACAACAAAGTGAAAACCGCTGAATTCAATGCAATAACATTAGTTATAAAAATGCTTTTGATATACTTGAATATTTTCAAATCTCGGACTATAACAGATAATCTAATGAAATCAAACTTAGAGGTAATAGGTTATTTTAGCTAGACAACATGTTTCTCTAGATCTAGATAATTATCCCATTATTGGACCAAATCAGGGTTAAAAAAGTCCGGTGTGCCGTATATTATCGCAAAATTCCATGATTGATGAATTCATTTAGAAAGACTATTGATTGTCTTCACAATGATGTCCATTGATTCTTCAAGCTGATCCTTATTAATAGTCAGAGGTGGTGCGAATCTGATTATATCGTCATGTGTATGCTTTGCTAACAGGCCATTCTCTTTCATTTTCAAACATATATCCCATGCATCAGCTAGTTCTGAAAACAATTAAGAATTTTTATCTGAATTTACAAAAAAAAAATGAAAGATTAATAGAAAAGGGAATCAGCAGTTTTTTTGAAAATCGAAATTTATTATCTAAATATCGGAATGTCTTTGGAAAATTCAGAGATATAGAAATAGCAACTTTACATGTGATTACATAAATATATTTGAAATTCTAAGAAACATATGTGTTTCTTCAATTTACTTAAAATTTCATTACTCAATGTCGACGTAGGGTTCAGTTTGCACAACATTGAAACCATTAAAGTTACAAAATAAAATATTTGAATGTATTTATAAACTACTGTTTTCAGAACCAATGTCAAATGTATACAAATCTTCAAGATAATTGAATATTGAAAGATTATACTAATTAGGAATCTCTGTTTCATTCATTCAGTTATGATACAAGAGAAAATTAATCTAACGGGGAACTTAAAATCACGGCAAGGGTCCATATAATTATCTAACCAGGCAAAATATATCCTTTGTGTTCAGAACAAAATTTAGAAAACAATCTATTTCACATGATGGACTATACAATGCATGAATTTAAAAATTTACTGAAAAAGTTCATGCTGTGTGACTAACAAGTATCAGATTTTGCTACACTTATTTTTTTCATTGGAACTCTTTTGTAAAACATTGAATTATTTTTTCAATGCTATTACACTTTAGTGTAATTTGTTCCCTGCATGTTTTTTGAGAATGATAAAGTTGATATTATCATTATAAACAGTTTTGAAATAAAACACCATTTCACATAAAGAAAGGTGCAATTTTTGTATTATTACTGAATCTATGTACAACTTTTCAAATAAAAAACATGATCAATGAGCAAAATTACTATCAAGGTGTAATAAGGGGAATATATTGTGATCCGAAAAAATATAAAGATGTGTAGATCATTCAAAGAAGTAAGTTTCAGACACAAACTGGAAGAAAAAGGCCTCTCGAAACAGCTATTTTCCAAACATTGAATTACACGAAGAAAAAAATATTTTCGAAACAGATAAGTTCATATGAACGCTGAATTATTCTGTCCTAAAATATACCCTTTCAATTTAAACTTACGTTAATAACAACTATCTAGCTATTATTCCTAGAAATATATTCAAAAATACTGGGTGTGTTTCCGACATCCCAAATTTCCAAAAGTGAGTAATTGCTGGATCACTCAGCTTTCTAGAACTGATATCGGGTTGCGATGGTCCACATCTTGATTTTTAGGATGTGTGACTGAATAATGTCTGGAAGATGGTCCATCACATTTTGGTTGATGTTTATATTCTATATCTTTATATTTTCATTTAGGACCCTGCCACCATTTGGACTTTAACATATGTCGTGCTGAACAACGAGAGGGAACTTCGGCGGAGTCGAGTAAACCAGGTTTGTTTCCATGACTGAATTGGAGTCAATGTACGAATTTCACGAATTCAATTTCAAACAAATGTGGTCCATCCTGAAATATACAGTCAAACTTTTCAGTGAGTAAATTCATTACAACAATCAGAAACTATCCAATTGCTGGCTTGTCCTTTTCTCTCGCTGAGGCGGGGGATACCAGTCTTATCTTGGTTGTAAAACTGCTTTCCTCAATGACTGATCTATGAGGTAAATATTGGACGCTTCCCAAAAGGTCTAGTGAAGCCACCTCTTCTATGATACCTTCTCTAAGTTACTTACTGAACACTTGATTGTAGGATTCATAAAGCCGTTTCTTTTCAAATTTTCTCAGAGTCGATATCTGTCTATTTTTAGCAAGTGCATAATTGTTAGGTATAGAAGGGTGTCCTTGTAGCCATGGCATCCTTACCTCATACCGACCTTCTTCGTTAAAAGTGGTGGTTTGCAGAAAAAGTTTTTTGGCTACTCGTTCCATTTTTTTTTATTTGATTTCTGTAGGTTTTTAATGCCTAAGGTATCCAATTCCCATAACTGTTGAGAGTTTTGACAAAGAGTGACAGAGCAGTAAATCCCATATTTGAGCTCTGCTCAAATGTCGGTATTTTTCCCATTAGAGTCCAGCCTAAGAATACATCAACAGCTACCATTCCACACTCCAGCAACCTTGGAAAACTGAAATTATTTTTGTACAGATTGTGGGTTGATCGATAGCTTCGAATGAACAACTATAATTGTCAATGACTAATCTAATATTGTAACAGTTATGAAATTGTTCTGACGTACTTGCCCCCGTATGTGACTGTATTTTTGTTGTTTACTTTCTGGTGTGTACCTCATTTTTTCTGCAGTACGATCTTTGTGATCCAGTATCAATTAATACTCGTATCATGCAAAATCCATGATCACTGATCAATTTCACCCTCAAAGTTTGCAGAAAAACGTGACTTTCTTTCGTAATTTACTCTGATTAGATTTTGTGTGTTTCCGACAGGAACTTACTGAACAGAAACATTAGTGTCTTCAAAAGTGTGAAAATATGAACAAAGATTCGATTTATAAGAAATAAATACTCAATTCATGAAAATCATATCTCAGTAAGTTGCCAAAAAAGAGAATGTGCAAAAAAATATTCTCATTTCTTCACCTCCAGACATCAACTACATCGCTGATAAATTGTAGCTGAGGAGTAGAAACAAATTACGTTTTTTAAAAGTTGTTTCACATTCGGCTTGAAAATAATAAATAAAAGATTTTTTGGGATAGGAAACAGAAACTATTCCATCATTCAATCATTTAAGACAATAAAAGTCCGAACTAATGAAATTCACCATGAAACATTGTCAACCGCTTTCAAAAAAGCATATTTCCCGGAATCTTCCCGCTGCTCTTTCACAATAAATCATCATCGATTTATGATATCTCTAAACACGTTTTTTAAACACTATGTAGATCGATATACGTTTTGCAAGCATACATAGCGCTCGTAAAATGACGGAATGATCGTGAACAGTCGACTCAATTTTATTCAAATTTTTCCTGCATACCTAGTTATCGAAATAAAATTAATCTATTATTTTTCAGATATTTCTCGACATTTCGTTTCACGGGAGTTTTGTTTTTTGTCTTTGTGTTTTATCATCACTTTAATGAAATGAATAAAAACAATTTGTCTAATTACCACTAGTCAATTTTATTTATACGACTGGTTTTGGGTTTAACTCCATTATCAAGTATAAAACTAAAATGTGAAATATGAAAAACTCGGTTATCTGGAGTTTTTAGGTAAGATAGGACAGGTAGTTTAACGAACCAAGGTGCCAACTTTAAAATTCAACACTGAAGATTATAGGGGTTGTTTAACTTATAAATTCAAGAGTGGAGACCTGCATAAATCGAGTTGCTCGTTTAGGGGTATATATTTCTGGTTTTTAATTGATTTCTTAATTTCCATGGCTTTCAACAAATTCATTTTTCCCTTTATTACATATGTGTAGGATTTTGAGGTTATCTTTACTCATTTTGTGTTTTGACTCTTGAAGATGTTCATACATTGTAGATTTTTTGTCCAAACAGACGTGTTCATGGAGCCTTACTTCGAAATTCCTACCGGTTTGGCCTCTATATACTGCAGAGCATTCGCCACACTATATTATATATAGGTTTAAAATCTGTTTTTCCGTTAATCAGCTGTTGCCGCCATACTAACGACAACTCTCAGAAGTTGAGAAACTTGTGCGAGCTAAGGACTAACGAGGTGTTACCTTTTAACGTGTGATTCATAACACGGTTGCAGAATCATCCCAGCTTCAACCAGATAAATTCTCTTGAGAAAAATATCTGGTCGAGGCGGGAGTCGAACCCACGGCCTTACGATCGTGAATCGGGCACACTACCACCGCGGGCAGTTCCACAACTAGTCCGGTCATTATACAATATTGAATTAACGAAAATTGCAACAGAGCTAAATTTTGGTGAAGACCTTCATTTTACCATAAAAAATAAAAATTTGAAAGTCCCAATCTGTCCCATGAGCGCTTCAAAAGCTATTCGGGGTCAAAGGTCAAAATTTTCTCCATCTTG